GGGATGGCCATGCACAGGGAGTCCAAGTTCCTTGGGAGGGCTCTTTGAGGAGTCTAGAAGAGTTCATATGTGAAAGTGCTTGTTCTGACGACTAAAGATCTGCATTGTTGGCGTACGGAATGGAGGGTGTTTTGGTCAACGTTAGTGAGGTAAGATGGAGACACCTAAGATCATGTGCCTATCTCCCTCGCCTGATGCTTGGCACTGTGGATTTGCCCTGAAACTTATATGAAGTCCTGGAAAAATGTGGTATAATGGAAATAAGCCCATAGAGGAACAATTAAGATAAATTACAGGAAAAAGTTAAGAGTCACATTTATTGTAAAACTGAAACTGTCAACGGTCAGCCATGGTGTTGTATATGTAGTTCATGGGATCAGAAAACCTTTAAAATGAGGAGCTAAAATTCCTGTCTAGTATTGTTTGTATACTCACAAACTGAAAGGAAGCAGCTAACCAGTATTTGGTTGCATCCTCAATCTGCAGAATTGAAGACTCTCAACACAGATTTCCATGGTATGAAAGAAAGATCTAGAAGGCAGACAGAAAGCAGAAAGTTGTGCTACAATCAAGATACTTAAATTTTAGCCTCACTCTTATTGCACATATTGTGACATTCTGGCACTCTGGAAAGAACCCATGCAGTGCTGGCTTGAATACCTATTGTACACTCAATGGCTCATTTAGTCTTAGATTGTGCTACTATGTGTATCTCAAGATTGGTTTCTGGATTAAGTCAGATCATATATTATTTTAGGATGAGTTCCTTAAAAGTAGAGTCTGACTGGAGAATTCTTTGCCCATATTTTATTGTGGGAAGGAGGTTGGAATAGGGCTGTGTTAAACACGGATCTGGTCCAGCTGGAGTCCTGATTCAGCCTGATCTGGAGAACTGCGGAGCCTACATTGCACTGGAGTCAATTCTTCCCATATGGTGGCAGGGGGCAAAATATTCTTGCATTTTCTGCAATGTATTGAAGTCACTGGTTGTATTCTTTCTTGGGGGAGCAAGTGTATCCTACTGGACAATGGTGGCTCTCAGTGGAAGAGCTCCACTTTGTACAGAAAGGGGCAGCTGTGAGCCTAATGCAGCCAAAACTCACTAGCTGGGCCTTGGGTATCCTGGCCTGGGAAAACAAATTTAGTCTGTGCATCTGAGGAAGCCTCTGTTAACACGGAACTCTCCTGGCACATGGGGAGCACTCCATTAATGATAGAGGTCCTATTACTACATCCTAAACTTTAATTTCTTTATCTATCTCATGGTATATAGATAGGTGGTCTAACCTTTCTTAAAGTGTTGAAATAATTCAGATTAGAGCATAATATAAAAGTTCTAAGTGAATACAAGAAATTATTATCCAAAGGAAAATCTTAAAATATTTGAGAATAATGACTAGGGAACACTTATGTATGTGTATGTATATACATATATAGATGTTATGCATAATATAATGATACTGGTATATAGCTATAATCCCTGTTGGCATATATAGTTATATTATCTATATCTATATCTATCTATCTATCCATAATTGGTGATACTGGGGATTGAACTCAGGCCTTTCACACTGAGCTACATCTAAAGCACCCTCTTTTTTTAAAAAAATTTGAAACAGGATTTCACTAAATCACTAAGTTGCCCAGGCTGAGCTAGAAGTGGTGATCCTATTGGCCTGCCAGAGTGCTAGGATTACAGACATGCACCAGCATTCCCTGATTAGTGCATTATTATGTTAATTTCATTGGGGGAGATGATTCTATGCCAGCGGTGGTGGACGTTCGGTGTATGGGCCACTGCAGGCTGTTTGTATCACTGAAAGCTCTAAAAGGCTCACCATCACTGTTCTATGCCATTTTGCCTATTTCTTGTGTCCTAGTAGAAATGACTCTAATGATACTTTGGGGCCTCTAGGAATAGAAAGACAGAAGGAGAGTTTTTCATCTATCATTTTGAATGGCTAATATATTTTGTTCTTGATTTGTATTTAAAAATGATAGACTGGGAGGAATATTTTACCCATTTTCCCACAGGCTCACTCTTGATTGGGATGGTCTAGCAGTGTGGACGTGTGTGCATAGAGGTGAGTTGGCAGGTTTCTGACTGGGATGAAAGAGCTGAGGACTGGCGACTCAGTTGCTCCCCACATTACAATCTTGTGTTCCCTTGTGGTTCATTCCCATGTAGTGAGGATTAAGTACCTGGAGTAAGGTTGTCACTGTTCTTCTCACACAGGAGCAGGGCAGCAAGATGGTGCACAGGGAGAACCTGGGGTTCTTCCACAGCCTGAACTACAGGGCATCCCCTTGGTTCATCCCTCCTATCCTCCATCATAACTGCTCTCTTTCTCAACCCAGTAGTTCTCAGGGGTTTGGCAAAAGAGGTTTCCCTGGTTCCCTTTTCTGCCAGTCTTCCCTGGGCCTTCTAGAGCCTTGGTCTCCTCTCTGGCCTCCAGAGGGCGCTGCTGCCCACAGAGACCTTGTGTGAGACTCTTCCAGTTCCCTGGGCTGCTGCCTCAAGCTGAGCAACCTCACTCGTGTCTGTGGATGGGCACCTGTGATTTAATAAGAGACTAGTAAGCACTCAGACTGCTTCAGGGCGTCCCCTTTTCTAGCTGTTGTTGAAAGCTGTCACAGCAAGGGATGTGAGCAGCCAGCCTCTCTACTTCTCCTCCCAGGGATTCCATGATCTGCGCTACCTCCCACCTGCTTCTCACCCTGCAGCTCATCTGCCCGAGGAAGACCTCAGCCCATAGGAGTGACACAGAGCAGTACTTCTGTGATGTGAGTGACACTGCCTGGGACTGCAGGGGAAGCGGAGCATAGAACGCCTGAGACTGGGACTTTCTGGTCTCAACCTAGATGGTTTTGTAGGAGTATCTTTTTCTGTAACACAAATAGAGCAGGGTGGGTTTAGCCCCCTGGTGTGTCTGTTTCTTGAAGAATGGCATCACTGTCTGTGTCCTGCCAGGTCAGATGCACTCTGTCCAGGTGGAGGGAATGATGAATTTCTCCAGGAGGGACCCTCCTCATCTCCACCTCTCCACCCACCCCAGCACTCTGGAGAAAGCACATCAGAAAGTGTCAGGACTTCCAGTGACAAAGGCAAGGGCACTTGCACTAAAAAATCAGCTCTGTATTCAGTATACTAATCAGCGTCACCTCAGGTGATGATCAATCAATAGTGTATTAGTCAGAGATCACTAGAGTAACAGATTTAATGTAATATTTGATATACCTACACACATATAGTGTGTAAAAAACGCATAAATCAGAAAAAGAAAACTATAAATATTTTAATACTAAGTTTATTGAGACATAATGATATTAATACAAGCTACCTTTGGCCTCTACAATTATAAGAGGTGGTCAAATTGATGGACATTAGATTCCAGACATTTACTGGGAACAGTGAACTGCTAGAGGGTGTATACATTGTTTGGCAAACTCTATGTATATACCATATATATATACACACACTGCATACATACCATATATATGGCTTCTATATATGACATATATAAAAATCCTATATGTGAACCATACACACACACACACGCATACACACATATATATATATATATATATATATATATATATATATATATTACATTATATTTTACAAGGTAGGGTATTAATGGCCACCTGCAAGGTCAGGTGTGGAGCATACAAAAAGACTGTGTACTGGAGAGTCAGATGATCCAGTCAAAGGTGGAAGTCCTGGAGGTCACTGCAGATTCCCATTGGTAGCTGGAGGGTCTACTTTGGAAGACTGAAAAGTCTGAGCTGAAAGGATGCAGAGTCTGAGCCAGAGGCTAAAGGGCCTGCACTGGAAACCGGGAGGTGGACATCAAGGTGGGGGTGAAGACAGGATGCCTCTGAAGAAACTGAAGCAAATGTTTCTCCTTCATTCCCCTTTTCATTCCACTCGGACTGCAACCCTGTTGGTTGGTGCCACTCACACCCAGGGTGGGTCTTCCATCTTCCATCCAACCACACCCAGAACTATGCTAATTCATCTTCCTCTTTTATTCCATTCAGGTTATAAGCCTAATGGTTGGTCCCGCCCACACTCAGGGTGATGCTTCTATTATCTCCACCTAGGACTGTACTGTATAAATTTAGTTATCACACATCTTTATCCCAGTATCACGCATCCTAGATCCAGCCACCTCTGGAAAGCCCCACCTATGAGCACATAAGGCCTTAGGGGACATCTAGATACAGGCCATAACAGCATTATTCTCCAACTTTCACTCAGGAGTTACTTTTGCTAGAAAGGGGATAGGCTAAGTGTTCCTTTGGAGGAGGGGTGGCCGCAGTTTCCTTAAGATGGAGATGACATGGTAGCAGAGACAATGGGATTGTCCACCACTTGCAGCCTGGAGCTTAGAAGAGAAGCCAGTGACTGTACAGAAGACAGGTTCTCCAGAGTGATTTTCTGTGCTGTTTCTAACTCAATAGACTTGAGTCCAGTTTCCAACCTGTACAGGGAATTTTGAGGCAAACTTGCTATTCACTAATTTATTCTTTTTCTCTATAATACAATCAGAATTCATTTCTTGTGCTCACCAATTAAAACTCTGACTTATTTACAATCTTATTCCTGCATTAAGCAAAAAATAAATCTAAGGAAGAAACCAGATATTCAGAAGTTATAGTAATTGTAAGAAACCTAGTGGTGCTTGTCAGGTTTCCTGTAAAATGCTAGGCTCCAGCATCTTTTCTTCATCTAATTCTTCTTGCATTAAATTATATCCCCTTTCACTCTAAGCCAGAACCAAAGTTGCATGAAGTAAAGAACAGGATAGCTTTGTAATTCCTTCTGAGTCAGCCCTACATTCTAGAGCAGTCTGTTGGCAGGATGGTGTTGCTACCACTAGAAGGCAGTGCCGCCCTCTCCTCAGTTTTGAGTTAAATCAGGCGAGCCCGCGTGTGTGTGAGTGTGTGTGTGTGTGTGTGTGTGTGTGTGTGTGTGTGTGTGTGTGGTGTGTGTTCAAAGCAAACCCGCAAGGTAAGAAAACACGAAGACTTTGAGGCAGGAAGGACAGATACAATGGGAACTCACTCTCCTGACTGAAGAACCAGACTTCATTTCAAGCCCCAGAGCTGAATCTTCTGAGAGACCAGCAAAAAAGAATGGAGAGCATCCTGGGGATGCCCCTGGTGATCCTGTGGATTCAGCTGTGCAGTGAGTGTTACCGGTGCGGGGAACAGGGATGCCAAGTTTTAGAGCCCGTGTGGCTGAAAGGTGAAATCCGGCAAATTTGGAGACGTATCTGGAAATGCCGTGACTGATCCCTGCCTGTGGCCTGTGTTTCTGTCTAGGAGTAAACAGCCAACAAGGAGAAGAGATTCCCTGGGCTCTGAGCATCCAGGAGGGGGAAAACGCCACTGTGAGCTGCAGTTACCAAACTGCTATTACCAACCTGTGCTGGTATCGACAGGAGGCCGGTGGAGGTCCTACCCCACTGATTTTAATTCGTTCAAATGAGAGAGAGAAACACAGTGGAAGACTGAGAGCCACCCTTGACACCGCCACCAAAACCAGCTCCCTGTCCATCACAGCTGCCCGGGACACAGACGCTGCTGCTTACTTCTGTGCTACAGAGGCACAGTGTGCAGCGGGCACCTGCAGCACCACACAAACCCCCGGCTGCTTTCTGGGCATGAACTTGCAACGGGAAGCAAACTCCAGGCTCAGTTCTGCCATCCTGGCTACCTATGCTCAGGCTTATCATCAGTGTAGCAGCCTTTGATTTTTGTCATTTGATATGAAAGACTTGGATCTCTGAGCACGGAAAGCTTCCTGCTCTAATTCTAGTGTAACGGCAACAATCGGGCTGTATTCCACAAAAGACTGAAGGGCTCTATTTTGAACAAAAAGAGTTTATTAAATAAATTTAGACCAGTCACCGCTCATCTCTGACTTACAGGAACGTGGGCCCCAGCCTGCCTTTGTTCCCACCTTATATACATTTTTGATTTCCATGGTAACAGATTGGAATGTTGTAGCCCTGGCCACACCTTGTTTTCCTTGGCCACGTGCCCGGGTCAGGTGCCCAACCACAATGAAATACTTTCTGTACTCTGTGCTATATGTCCCCCTTTAGATTATCATACATTTCCTTTATGGTTACAATGTTTATCTAGGGCCAGGGAAGGGATGAAACAACCCAGGCAGGGTCATAGGTGGTTATCTGGGCCTGGGTGTTCTTTGTCTTTGGAGAAGCATTCCAGGGCTAAGTCAGGAGGGCAAAGCTGACTTTTTACAACCCCTCCGGGATGTTTCTCAAGACACATTTTGAGGCTTGCACTAAGACTAGAATTCTTCTATCTTAAAATGATATGCTAAGAGTCACTGTCCCCTACACTAGCAGTAGAAAACAATCCCTGGGCATTTACAGAGGGTAAGGAAGAACTGCTAAGTATTAGAATGTATTCCCTGTCCTTAGCTGGAAGGTCTGAGGCATGTAGGGACCATCATGATGACACAGTGTTAGGACAAAAGGCTGGGATGAAAAATAAATTCTTAGGCTTCTCTTTGTAGTACAATGTGTTCCAACTGACACACAATGAGGCCTGATAAAAGCTCAGAAGCAGAATGATTATGTAAAAATAAACATTTACCATGAAAAGATCTAAAAAAGTCAGTTAGCTTCACTTGCTCTTAGTCAGCTTAGAACTACTAATTTTGGAATCCCACAGCTAGCAATACATTATTAGTGTCCCATGGACTTTGGCAAAGACAGCACCTTTGTCTTGTAGGTTGTGCTAACAGCTGCCTGGGTTGCTTTTTATGGACCCGAGGCTGCTTTTGCTGGGAACATGGTCTCTTCACTTGGGTCTGCAGACATCTGATGGGAGACTAAACTAGGGCAAAAGACTTGGCATCTGTACTGTGTCCACTCTCTTTGCTTTCTTAACTGCTGAGTCAGATTCTACTCAGCTCTGCATGCAGACATGTTGATTATTTCACTAATGTTATTTTCTGGATTATGACACAGAGTTAATTTTGCATGTCACCCATTGGAGCTGGTATGTATTTCTTCTATCCCACTCTTCTCCTTTTTTAGCAGCACAAACACTAAAAGTCCTTCAGCCCCATGGTGAGGCCCGGCCACTTAGAGAAAATGATGACACAGCGTCAGAGTAACTCAGCTGTTCCTGAGCAAATTCCACTGCCTATTAGCTCACCAAGTAAAGGCCGAGCCTGGGGTGTTGTATGCAGGTGATGGAGCTATCTACATACAAATCCAAAGCTTCTAGGGTGCCTTGACCATGTTTTGGAATTGTGCTCCTGGTCAGTAAAATTTACCAGACTTTAGCTCATGCCAAGAAATCAATAAAAATATGCTATTTTCTTTGTTCCGTGAGCAGCACCTTGGTCATTCTCGTGACTAATTGCTCCTGTCCTTCAGGCAAAGCCCCCAGTTCCTTTAATCCTCCTTTCCCCCTGCTCACTAAAGACTTCTGCATGTGTTTGCAGTGTTTGGCCCCAGACTCATTTCTACCATCTCTGGGTCAAAAGATCCTGCTGTCCGTTGTCAGTTGTGGTGTCAGTTTTTGGGTGGCATAAATGGCACTTGCACTCCCTCAGTTCCAAGAAAGAGTGGTTCAAACTTGCAAATCTTCTGCATAACCCTCGCAGAACACTGGAATTACTTGTATGTGCCCCTATGTCTGGCTCTGGATTTATATTTTTAATAAACACCATTTTCATTACTTAGAGATTTGCTGAGTTTTACATTATGGAAAACATGAACAATTTTAAAACAAGGGGTGATTAATTTTTCTTTCACATAAAGAAGCTCCATAGCAACCAAGATTGTCTTGGAGGAAACTTCATCATGTGGGGGGCCCAGGATTCTTCTGGTTCATTGTTTCTCTTCCTTCAGGTGTCAGTCATGTTGTGAAGAAATTGCTAAAGATCTTTCCACTTTGTGCACCTTCCAGGCAGAAAGAAGGAGAGAGGCAATAGGTCCCTGCTGGTTAAGCCAATCATTTCTTAAACTTTGCCCATCTTCCACTTATATTTCACTTATGGAAGTGTTACTGGATGTCCCACCTGCGACAGAGGTGAGATATCTGGATTAGTAGGTTTTTTAAAAAATGTGACTTGTTGCTGCTCACACCAACACTGGGGATCCGCTGATAAGGAATAGAACAAAATGGACACTGAATAACCAGTGTCTGACACAGCCACAGTTGGAGTATATTAGGAATTGTGTGAAGGGCCTGGATTTCAGTCATGTATATATATTCTATATTGCAGTTCTTTGAATTTGTTTCCTGAAAGTCTTGCAGAATCAGCCTACTTCATCTCAAAGCCCTAATTAAAATCTACCGTTGCACCCAGCACACTTGGTACACGCCACACCACTCAGTGTAGTCCTCGGTACTCTGCTTTCTGTACTGCAGTGGCAATGACTTTGTCAGAATACAAATCTGATGGTGTTAGTCAAGCAGACACTTGCTCTTAGGGTAAAAAAAGTTCCGAGTGTGATGTACTGAATCTTGCCCTCTGTGTCTCTTAATGTCAGAGAGCATTATCTTTGCATCCTCAGCACCAAAGTACCTTGTGTGCAAGGATCTGCATCAAATCTCCTTTCCCTCCTTTCCATTCATTAACTTATTTAATCTACTTCCTTCATTTTAGTCTCCCCAAATACTTCCAATAATGTAGTAAAAAACTAACAAGAAAATAAGGTTTAGTGAGCTCCAGACAGTTTGGTCCATGGATGTCTGGGGGGTATATGAAGAAATTCCAGAGGAGTGACCATTTCCTGAAAACTATGGGCCAATAGTCAAGGAGAACATCAGGCCCCCTGCTTTATAAATAAACAGAGGAGCAGCTGTGCCTGTTTATTATGCGTTTAGCACTGCTGCATTGGTGCTAAAACAGCAGAGTAGGGTAGTTGCAACAGGAATCATAGGACCTCCAAGTTTAAAATATTTACTACTTGACCCTTTGAAGAAAGATCAAACACCTAGAGGAAAAGGGCTCTCAGCTTAGTTTTATCCCTCCAGAAACAGTCTGCTGAATCTCCATCACCCATGCGGTCAGCTTCCTGCCTAGGACTAGCGATTGCGCTGATATTCTGTGAGAGAAGTTTATTCGAAGAGACTAAGATGTTCTATTCCTTGGTTTTAGGATGAACCTTCACCCCTTCAAAACTGGAGACTATTCCTCTTCAGTGTCAAAATAACAAGGAGTTACTACTTGTAAGAGGGACCCATAGATACTCTGACACTGAGCTGCACTTACCAAACTAGCTTTCTGCATTTCTTGCTCTGGAGCCCGAGCCACTCTGAGAAGCTCGTCTGAAGAGCAGGAGATGGGCAACAAAAATTTCAAGGCCAGTCACGCTGTATAATATCTTTTTCCACCTGAAGAAAAGCAGGGATGAGAATGGAGGGATCTCTACTGAGAGGTTCACACCACGGAGTATCAGCTCATGAGAAGTGTTTTCCTAAACTTCTTGAGGTCTGGGATCCTCACCGTCCTGTCTCGTTCTGCCATGCCTCAGGTTTCAGTGCCTGAAGCTGCTCAGATTTCTGGGGGCTTTCTATAAATAAATTAATTAATTAATTAAAAAATACATACTTTTCTTGAACAGGCAGTAGCAAGAGCCTTTGAAATCAAAGCATGATGACTTCATGGTAAATCTGTGTCTGGGACTTCACAGAATTCATCATTCGCCTTTGTTTTTGAGACCGAAATACTATAGTAGCCTTAACTTATCCTCATACTGGTAGACTCTGAAGCCCCAGTCTTCCTTTCTAGACAGCAATCAGGCCATTTCACATGTAAATCAAAAGAGTGTTTCTCCCTTATTAATTTTTAAATAACACTTTTATCCAGATATTAATGTAAATGCCATCTCTTTCTTTCATTTAGGGTATTCAGAAAATCGTCTAGTTTTCACTACTAATTACAGAATATTAGGGCATTGAAATTACCCTGAATGATATTGTAAAGATGGATACTTGCATGTTTGCCTAAACCCTTGAACATGTGGTATCGTGAGTGAATCCTAATGTACACCTGGGGCTCTGGGTGACAATGATGGATGCGTGATGTTCATAATGGGGAAGGTTATTCAGGTAGGGGGCAGGAAGTATATGGGAAATCACTTGCTCAATTGTGTTGTGAAATTAAACTTGCTCTCAAAATAAAAAGACAGTGGGACTATCCTTATCTCTAATATTAGAATATTGATTAATGAACAAAAATAATTCCAGTGACCTAAGACTTGATTAATGAACAAAAATAATTACTTTTTAAGACTGATCTTTGTATAAATGCATGATCTTCATGGATCTATATTGGACCTATATATTTAGATGGATAAGATACAAATTTTGTCAGCTTGAGACTACAATGATTTTACTGAAAGTGGTGTCAGGGACAAATGCCAATGCAAGTGGAATGCTACTGACTACCAGCGATACTTTTAACAGTTATGATATTATTCTCAATAACCTTCTTGTTACATATTGTGTATTTTGGGGTTTTCCCTATTCCAGTTTCCATCATCATTGGTGAGTGGTTTGAAGAAGCAGGCGTATTTTCAGAAACACTTGGATTGTGTCATAATAGAAATTCCTCTATCTGGCCACTGAATAAAATATTCTACATTAATTTTTGTTTACACACATGCATACATGCACACACAATGTGTGAACACATCCGCATATTTATTTTTTTCCTGATGTTACTTGACATGGCTCATACTTTGAGATGTTGTGATTCAGGAGACATGATAAGAATTCATTCATTAACAATAAAATATTTTCCATGTAACTTTTCCTGAATTCCATGACTAACAAGGTAGGAATAAAGACAGTCTAAAACTTTTGCATTGTTGTTAGAGAATCACAGTTCTGTGGTTACTTTTCACCTTTGCTCTATCTAGAGTAAAAGAGGCACATGTAAGACTACAGGGTGCGTGACCAGGTTCTCCTATGTACTTACTAAAATTCATAAGAAATTGTAGGTCTCGCATTCTCGCTTTTTCTATCAAAAAAGAATGATGTGAATGCGATTGCATCTTAAAGGTCATCGTTTTAAGTCCACCGAGTTATACTGAGACACAACAGGTTCTCAAGGCACTCTGGCCTCTCCGACTGCACAGGAAGCATGTCACAGGTCGCTGGGAAACATGCCCCATATCTCTCACCTGCATTTCCTGTTGAGGCAGATGTACCAAACAGCCCAATAACACTCTTTTACCTCTTGAGCACAAGATACAAAATTAAGATCAGGATCTGACACAGAACATAGAGCATTTCACTACAGGGAAGAGCTGCCACTATGCTGTTTGCCAGCCTGCTTGGGGCAGCCATCACCTCCCTCTGCCTTGGTAAGGATTCCACAACACAGGGCTCAGCCTCTTCCTAGCCCTGAAGGTCATGGGGAGAGCAAACTGTTGGCTGAAGAAGCTGCTCAGAGGAAGAGATAATGAGTAATAAGACCAGAGTGCTGGGACCTAAACCATTTTGTGCCTTATCCTCCCCTGGTTATAGATAAAGGATCATCTTATTCTTATCCTCTTTCTTGCAGGAACCGGCATGGCCGAGAAAGTATCTCAAACTCAGACTGCAATTTCAGCACTTGAGAAGGAAGATGTGACCATGCACTGTGTGTATGAAACCAGTGATCCTCGTTATTCCTTATTCTGGTACAAACAGCCACCAACTGGGGAAATGATTTTCCTCATTCGTCAGGACTCTTACAGTGAGCACAATGCCACAGAGGGCCGTTATTCTCTGAATTTCCAGAAGGCAGCCAAGTCCATCAAGTTCACCATCACAGCCTCCCAGCTCGTTGACTCAGCAGTGTATTTCTGTGCGCTGATGGAGGGCACAGTGAGAAGGGGCCTGCAGGAACCCTGCAAAAAACTCAGCAAGAGACAGGGCCCTGGGAAGAGACTTCATCACAGACAGGGAGGAGCACAAGCATCACGGCTATGCTCTAAACCATAAATCTGCAAGAGTTAAACAGTTAAAATTCATTTATTTAGGATAAATATTTTTCATCTGAAAATTATTCTTTGGTTCAGCTGATTTTAGTTAAGTGATACAAGTGTTTTTACATTGTCTCTCAGAGCCTGTGTAAAATAATATCATAACTGTGTGGAGTTGCAAAAACCCTGTGCTTTAAAACTATTTATACGTGCATAGGACTACCTGTCTTCTTATTCCTATAATACAGTTGTGATGGTTACTCTTAATTGTGTTAACTTGATTGGATTAAGAAATACACAGAAGATTAGTAAAGCACATTTCTGGATTTGTCTGGGTGGGTCATAGAGGTGTAACTCTGGGTGTTATCTATGGTACCTATCCTGTCTGGCATGATTCCTATATCTTCCTTCCTAGCCGCCATGAACCGAGCAGCTTTCCTCTACCACATCCTTCTACCTTCTGTGTTTCTATCTTGGAGCATGCTGATCATAGATTGAAAGTCCTAAAACCATAAGTCAAATTAAACTTCTCCACATTTAAATTTTGGATATCAGAAACTGTTCCAGTGATGGGAAAGCTAATACAGAAATTTGGTACCAGAGAAGTGGAGCTAGTGCTGTGACTGTCCATATGGTTTAGAAACTTTGAGAAATGATTCATGAAGGAGATTGGAAAAGTTTGGAGATGCAGGCTAGAGAAACTTAGAATGCTGTAAGCACAGTTTCATGGGTGATTATGGTTGGTTCTCAGAATATATGAATGTTGATAGCATAGGCTGAACATTACAGGATGGATTTAGGAGGTTTCAGTTGGAAGAAGGGCTCCATTGGCAACTAGACTAGAGACCATATGTGTTATACTCTTGTGAAAAATATTTCTACATGAATTTTTTCCCATGACCTAAAATTATGGGAAAAGTTTTTTCCCATAATTTTTTCCAGGGACCTAAGACTTTGTGGGATACAGAAGTTAAGGACAATATACTAATAGATCTCATGGAAGAAATTCAAAGACAGTCCAATATTCAGGCATGAAATTGCTTTTTAGGCAATTTTATAATGAGAATCCAGAGAAAAAAAGCAGAGAAAAAATTTTTCAGAGAAAAAATTTTTGAAATAGTTAAATTTTGACCCAAAAGGAACTATGTACAGGGTTGAAGCCAAAAGAAGTGTGGCTGCTGGTGAGATTAGTACCTTTAGAAGGACCCAAGTACTTTGCATAGGGACAAGAACAAGATGCCTTGAAAGCATCTCAGGCATTGCTAAGACCCCATCAAAGGCTCAAAAGAACAAAAGTATAAACCTTTCACTTGAAAAGAGAGCCCTTGGGCCCCCATGCTCAGGAAGGGACACCTCAGAAGTTCATTCTCCAGGATTAATTTTACCATGTTCAGTCATCCAGGCACTCAGAGGCTGTTGCAGTCATGGTCCACAGGAGGCTGGTTACATTTCCAGCTGGCAGCAGACCTTTGTGATGTCCGTGTGATTACTAGTTTCACCAGCATGCAGAATGCAAGAGATGTAGGGTCAGGAAGATTTCTACCCAGTTTTCAATTAAAAGTCTGGGAGATCAGGCAAGGAGTTCTTGAAAGTGTAGTGTATAAATCTGTGGGAATGAAAAAAAATGTGCAGAGGAGATCCCAGGAAGTCAAAGATGCCAGGAATGTGGACCACATAAGATACGAAAAGTGTAGGTTGTAAGTGAACCTGGCCCAAGTGGTCATGTGTGTTGTAACCATTATGGCCATAGGCACAACCATGTGGTCCAGATGCTGGACATGGAGCTACAGGACTTAATATTTGTCCTGTAGAATTTCAATGTTGCTTTGGTCCAATTCTTTTCACTCCCCTTATTCCTCTGATTTGGAATTAAAATGTTTATTCTTGCCATTGGATTCTTTTATTATGTTAATTCTTTTTCACTATTACAGAAGTTCATAGGTGAAAGTCTCAGAGGACAGTAATTTTGACTTTTGAAACATATGATAACTGTTGGAACTTTGGGAAAGTAATTATTGTGTTTTTTGGTTATATGTCGTGCCATGTTAGTTGGAATTATGGATTTGCTATTGTCTTTTACTTAGTTATTAACTATTGATTTAAATTGTATTTAGGTGTCAAGTTGGCAGTAGCTGGATTATGGGGATTAATAAAGCACACTTCTGGGTGTCTCTGGCTGGGTCATGGACTTGTGACTTCGGATACTACATGTGGTCCCTGACTCCTTTCACTCTGGCACTTTTCCCTTATTCTGCTTCTCTTCCAAGAGAAAATACTTGTTTCAATTAAAACAACGGCACAACATAAAGTAAATGGAGAACATGTCAAGGATCATGCTGAGTAAAGTTGTCCATCTGTCACTGAGCTAAAGGAATAAGGCTGCTGTGAGCCACATGTGGTATGCAAACTCAGAGAAAACTTTGCATAGAACCTGGCATCTCAAAACTGTGTAATATCAATAAAGTAGTATTTGTTTATATCAGGCTTATACTCTCATAGTTGTGTATAAGTTTTTGAGAGTTCACACAATGTGTGATAACAACATTGCTCTGATGCTTAATGTAGTTTCTCTCTATCTTTATCCCACATAAATAAAAACTGTTTGGAGTGTTTTTGTAAGACTGTACAGAGATTCTGAGATCCATGAATTTGAGGACTGACAGTTCACAGAATGCATATTGGACACCACATTGTGACTTTAAATGATGTTTTCCACTACACATACAATGAAGGGAATGTATTCCATTGCCCCTCTATCCTTGTACTATTGTTGTCATGAGTTTTAATTCTGCCTATGTTAGAAAATCCAGTAGTGCACTTTTATAACTTTTCTTTAACACATGTTAATATTCTTTTCCTTTTAGTCCTTAGTATTGTGTTCTGATATGTGCTGTTCCTATGAGAAGTCAGTTATCATTCTTAGCTTTGAGTCCCTGTGTGTAATTGCTCTATCTCATTCTCACTCACATCAAGTGCTGCTGAGATTTCTGAGACTTGATTACGGCTATGATCTGAATAGGTCTGTCCCCACTAAAACTCACATTGAGGCTTGATCCTCAATGTGGCAGTGATGCGAGATGGTGCCTTTAGACATGCAGAGGTCATCACGGCACTGTGCATTGCCTGGATTAATATTCTACTTAGAAGATGGGGTGAGCTCTTTCCATACTGGATTAGACTTGGTTTCTCTGGAATGAGTTGAGTTTCATGGAACTGGAATAAATAACTCGGAGTGGACTGTTATAAAATAAATTTGTCTTTCTCAAAATATTCCCTTGTGTCCTCATTTGACAATGAGGATAAAATTTCCCCTTTGAGGCAAAATGCTGATTGGGACTAGGGCATAAAAAGGGGTAACTCAGATTATGAACTGGAGGAAAAGGAGAGAGAACTTTCTCTGCAGATGGATCCTTTTTATGCACAGGAACCTCAGTAGTATGTACAAGGATAAGCCTCACACTAATGCACAGAAGAGTTGTGCCAGGAAGTATTTGGGAAATTACAGAGCTCTGCCTGGTGAAAGTGCTGTAAATAGTTATTGAATACTACCTTCATTATAGTTGTGAATCTATAAACAAATATTTAGTGCTTTCTTCGTATAGTGCTATTTCATTCTGTTTCTTTACCTTCCACTCAAGCTATTTTATAATAGTCCCCATTATCAAATATTTTTCTCTCCATGGTTTCTGTTACATGCTGTAAATTTCATCTGAAAACAGTAAATGAAAAAATTCCAGAAATGAAGGCTTCATGTTTCACATTCCATGCCATCCTGAGCACTGTGATGAAACCAAGCCCATGCCACATCCTGGGAGGATCAGTCCTTTGTCCAGTACATCCATAGTGTACAGCTACTCAATTCTCAGTCCTTACTCTGCCCTTTTTCAGAGTCAGTTAGTGCTAGTTTTGTATCCACACCTCAAACTGGACAAGTTACAACCACAGTGCACAATTGTGGATGGAAGAATCGAACATACAACTTGTTCCAGTTGATGGCAATGTGTTACACCAGAAAGCACCGTGCCTACCTTATAAAAAAAGTTATCATAGGGTTGTATATATAAGAAAATGCACAGTATGTACAGAGGTAAGTGTTCTCTGTGGTTACAGGCATCTAGGAGGGTCTGTTTTTTTTTTTTTTTTTTTTTTTTTTTTTTTTTTTTTTTTTTTTTTTTGGTCTTTTCTTCTGGTACCAGAAATTGAACTCATGACATTGCGCTTGCCAGGCAGGTGCTTTGCCGCTGAGCTAAATCCCCAGCCCCTAGGAGGGTCTTAAGAAGTATTTTTTTGTGAATTGGTATGACTGATGTTAAATAAAGGGTGAGAAGGCTCGGAGCAGCATTCAAGGAAACCAGCAGAGGGCGCTGCTTTCTTATACATGGCTCACATTTGCAGTTGGCTGGTGACTCTATAGTCTGCAAGCACAAGTCAGACTACTGGAAGAGCCTGTTGTTTCTGACAGGTGTTTCTAGAAGATGCCATTGGAGCTGAGCCCTTGAAGATTTTGTGTAATGCAAGTAGCAAGGACTATTTCCTACCAACATGCTTCGCTTCACCTGTTCAGTTCTTCTGATTCTCTTGATGTTCAGTAAGTAATACTTTATCTTAAGCATTAATGATGTTTTTATTTCCCTACAATTATGATAATCTTTGCCCTTCTTCCAAATATAAACAAATGTATTGTTGTTGTTGTTCTCCTCCCCCTCCTCCTTCTTTTCTCTTATTAGGGAGAAACCGTGGAGACTCAGTGACCCAGACAGAAGGCCCCGTTACTCTCACAGAGGGAGACCTTCTGATGCTCAACTGCACTTATCAGACAACGTATTTAAGTCCTGTTCTTTTCTGGTATATCCAGTATATGGACAAAGCTCCTCAGCTCCTCCTGAGGAGTGCAATAGAAAACCAGCAGACTGAGAGCCAAGGTTTCCAGGCCACTCTTGTCAAGAGCCAGCGCTCCTTCCACCTGCACAAAGGTTCACTTCAGCTGTCAGACTCTGCCGTGTACTACTGTGCTCTGTTGACACAGTGAGGAAGCTACAGGGGGAGCTGAGCACAAATCCAGAGAGTGCAGGAGGCTGAGGGGAGCAACCCTGGCCAGAAAGTGCTGTGTCCTCTGCCTAAGCAGTGCTCAGTGAGGTTCCCCAACAACATAAGCCATTCTCAGTTTGAGTTTCTAGAAAACTTGGAGGTCCTGAGTGACTCTGGGGTGTGATGGGGTGGACGATAGGTTAAAGGGATCACAGGGTTTGATCTCCAGAAGTTCCAGGGTTCAGCCAGGAAGATTTCTCTCTTCCACAGACCTGGAAATCTCTCACAGCAAGTATTTCCAGGGAAACCATGGTGTGGGGTTCATTTCTTCCAAGATTACTTGTATATTTTGTGATCTGAAATCTCCAGGGGTTGTGTTTCTCATGCGAATATTTATGGATCATTAAAGGGACACAAAATCTACTTTAATTATCCTACTAGTCTGTACAGCTAAGTTAGACCCTGCCTTTCCTTAGTCTCTGCTGGAAAATGTCCAATCCAACTCCTCACCAATATTTAACTTGGTGAGGCTGCTCAGGAGATGCGGCCATGGGAGGACCCTCAGCGTAAGACACTGGAGGGAACCTCCTCCTGGGCCTCACTATACAGGTGGTGAAAGTCAGAGCACTTAGGAAAGCTGTGTCAAGGAGTCCTCCTTCTTCGTTTCCAGGTTCCTCTGTCATCACCCTGACCTTTAAATGACAAGCACCTGGAGTTCAGCTTGAGGTTTCATGAGAATCCATCTGAGATAGAAGAAAGAAGACAAGGGATTTTTAACATCTCAACTCTCTTAATAAAATGTTAATGCAAACTCAAATACTCAATTGTCTTAGATATTTCTCTGTAGAGCAAGAAAGACCTGAATAAAACAGAGGATGCCTCTCACAAGATGCACTCATTTTTGTCTGTGTTTATAAGAAGCAGAAAATATGCACACTGTCTTTTACTGAGCAGGGAGTGAAATGGAAAATCTAATCCTATGTTTCTAAACTCTGAAATTAAACCACAACAGCAGCACAGAGGAAATCAAAGAGCTCTCACTCGGGTGCTGATCACACTGTAGACCAAAGACTGAACCCCAAGTTCTAATAAGAAACAGTGAGATTTTCCTTTGATTCTCATCATTAGCCTTGTAAATTCAGTAGCACTGTGGGTTGAGGATTTCATTGGCATGGGAGCAAAGATAACAGGATTTTTCTTCCTTTGCATCTTTTGCTGGTTATTATTTTTTTCCTTTTACCCAAATCCATGCTTCCTTCCTCTTGGTCCCACTCCACAGTGCAGTAGTTTAAACCATGTGAAATGAATTGCTCAGCTTCTTCTGCTTGTTGATGTTTTACCTGATTTAGCCTTTGCATAGATACTGGCAAATCTTTGGGTGGAAGAGAGAGAGGCTAAATCTTTCTTTGCTCCTCACCTGCTGAAATGCAATGGTTTACGCTGCATCCCTCTATAACTACAGATCCATGGAGAAATCTCTCTTCCACAGGTCCCACTCCCCAAGGGGTCTTTACCCCTTGCTCCTTCAGATTGAGATTCCTCATGACTCCCCACTGTCAGTAGGCAGTGTTGGATGCCTCTGCATCCTTCACCGGTTCCCTAACCCCACTCACACCACTTTGATATGGGCTCCTTTGAATTCTCTTCATTTCACTGGCTGAACATACTTTCTGTCTTCTTGTCTGCAACCTGAGTGGTACAGGAGAGAAACTTCTTTTTCTTGTTCACCTGTGCATCATTCGACATTCCTCATAAGTGTCCTTGACATCAGCTACTTCTATTGTAACATTATAAACAATTTTTAATTTTATTTGGTCTCTGTTTATGCTGTGATCCTGACTCTTACTCTCCTCACCCCCAGCCCTGGCATGCTTTCTACTGTGATACAAGATTCCTAATGCTGTGGGGTTGTATGGGCTTTGTCATTCTATGTCTACTTTGCATATTTTAATGAGTTTATAATGTTCATTCCTAAGGGATGTGATTCTAGATGAGTATGCCTTAATATTATTCCTTCTGACAGTAGCAACTTTTATCTATTTTCTCTAGCAGTGACAGAAAACAGATTTTTTAAGGTTATTAGCTTGATGTTTTCCAGTAAATGTACATATCATTTACTATATTTACATATAATATATATATAGTATATATATCCTAACATATTATAGAATAATATGTTATAATAGAGCATACTAGAATGTATATGAAAATGAATACATGCATATAATCTTGTAGTATAGATATGTGTGCAATATACAGGTAGAAGTATAATTTGAATTAAAAACAATTCTCAAATTAAATTCAACAATAAACAATTAAGAGATAATGAATTCAAACATTATAAGAAATCATTATCCCCATCTATAAGTCAAACAATTTAAAAAATTCTGTAGACAGACATCTTGATACCTCTGAAAATATTACAGCATAAATGAGACAGCTGACTCCTTCCTAAGAGTCTTGTGTAATAAAAACCTCATGTTGTGAATTGCACTCCAATTCCCAGCCATCTTGCAGCCAGCCACTCTTTGGCTGCCCAGTGGCCCACGCGGAGGTGCTGAGGCTCTGTGTCACACTGTGGCACGAGGTCGTCCACCATCAAGGCTAAACTGTGCTTGCTGAGGGTGGCAGAGTTTCTTTATTGGGATGGGATATGAACAGAGTACACAAATTCCCAAGGGCCCTTCTTACTTTTGATCTTGCTTTTTCTGTTTTAAATTGTGTCCTGTAAAACTAGCAGCCTAGCACAAAGCGTGTGGCAGCATTGCTGGTGCTGTAGCCTGTAAACCATCCACTGCTCTGTAAGGAAGCCTTAATAAACACATTCGCTCACCACTCTGGACTTGTGTGAGCTGTCATTTGGACTGTGGGCTTTTTCTCAGATTGGAGGCAGACCTTTCTTTTGTGTCTCTCCAGAACATTCATACAACACCAATTAGTCAGTGTTCTCAGAAAAAAAATGGAGGTGGATTGATCAATGGACTAGTTCATATAATTTTGGAGGTTGAGAAGTCATACAATTTTCCATCTGGAAGCCCAACTAGAGAACCAAGAAAATCACTTAGGTGGGTGTTGTCGAAAGACCCAAGAACTGTGAGGTAATGTCCAAAAGCAATGGAAGATAGATGTCCTGGCTCAAGCAGGGGGAGTGGAGCCATCCTTCCTCTAACCTCAGTTCTATTCAGCCCTCCATGGACTACATGATGCCCACCTACACTGGGAAAGGTGCATTTCTTTTACTAAGCTGATGGATTCATATGTTAATTTCTTCCAGAAACACCTTCACAGACAGCAAGCAATAATGGTTTATCAGCTATCCGGGCATCTCTTAGCCTACTCAACTTGACACACAAAATGTACCATAATAGTCTGCTCTCTGGAAAAATCCAGACCAAACACCAACATCAAGAAAATTTCATTATTTTACTACCTATAATTCTTATACTAAAAATATGAAATATATTATGGAATAACAAAACCCAAAATTTGTTGATTAAACATTTTAGGCACTAGTATATACCTAGCACATGTCCTGATACTCAGCTACTTTAATTCTGCTTTGTGGTAAGTCCTACCATCATTTACAAAGAAAATTGAGGATGAGAAAGTTGCATGTGGTTAAATACAGGTGTCTTCATGGTTGCACACGTGGAACACTAAGACCTTGAGGAAGATCTGCAAAGTAGAGAGAAAACCCTCTAAGATATTTTGGAGTTTTAGAAAGCATAATTCATGCATTCTGTGAAGGCTAGAATGAGGCCAGAGCTTGTCCAGTAAGGCAGCAAGTGTGACCCTAGAAAGCAAATCAGACTCTCAAAGGACAAAATAGCTGACAGCCACACGGTAAGTAGAAGATGACTTCTACGTTTAGAATGGGGGCAGCTCTGGTTGCAAGATTTGAATAGATCTTCAGAATTTTTCCAGGGCTTCCTTACCAAGATTCATTGGCCAAACTTTCTCCATGCCTCTGTCTTTTTACAGGGTCAATTCTTATAATATTTACCACAAATCTTCATTATTCCGTAAGAATCTATGGAATAGACTTGTTAGAGCTGTCATTTGGGCTATGGGCTTTTTCTCAGATTGGAGGCAGACCTTTCTCTTGTGTCTCTCCAGAACATTCATATAACACCAATTAGTCAGTGTTCTCAGAAAAAAAAAAGGAAGTGGATAGATTAGTGGATTAGTTCATATAATTTTGGAAGTTGAGAAGTCACACAATTTTCCATCTGGAAGCCCACCATATTAAGTTTATAGTATGCAATATTTACATTCAGATTACTTTGTGTTCTTGTAAGGACTTTCACCTAAATTAGTTCACAATCAATAAAGCGGTTATAGTTAAAACACATACCCAGTAGTACTCCACTCAATATCAACACCACATTTTCTTTATCCGTTCCTCCACTGACGGACACAGAGGCCTCTTCAAAGATTTAGCTGCTCTGAATTGTGCTGCTATAAAGACAGGTATGTATTTATCACTGTAATATGATGTCTTTAACTCTACAATAGAGTACTACTGTGTCACAAAGAAGGATACAAGTGAGTCAGTTGTAAGAAAATGGATGCACTTGAGACCATAATGTTAAGTGAAATAAATCAGACACACAAGCTTAAATATTGCGTGCTTTCTTTTATATGAGAAACCCAAAATATAAATAAAGAGCAAAATAAAAGGTAGAGAATAGGAAGTAGGGACAGAGGTCTTTCTTTTTCAACTTGGATGGAGATCAAGAGATGCTGGAAGAGAGGAGGAACGGGAGGGACAGGCAGTGAGAATAGAATTAAAATGTGTTGTGTACATGTATCAATTCCCCATGAAGAATGTAATCATTATGTAAAGCAAACATGTACTAATAACATGTGAAAACACACACACACACGCACACACACACACACACACACACACACACACCAGTTCTCTGGGTTTAAATCTGAGGATATTCTTTCTCTGATGCTCTCCCAGGCTTTCATTAGTATACTCGAGACATTTCTCTTTGGAGAAGCATCTCCCCTTACTCCTCACAATTCCAGGACTGTCAGAAGATGTCCCTCTGCTAATGTGATAGTAAACTTTCTCTCCTTCCTCTCCCCACCAGGCTCCACCCAGATTCAAAGCAGATCTAGGTGGGGGAGGAGCTTTCTGCACAGAAGCTGTGGAGGACTCAGTCTGCGCCTGGGCAGGGTCATCAGTGGAGCTGATTGGCTGAGGTGCGA